AGAGAGATATGATGCAAAACTATTTATCTGCTTTCTTGTGATTTTAAAATTCATCGAGTATTGATTATCATTATCAATGAAATTATTTTTTTTTGTATTTCTAATTTTCCAGCCTAGAATCTATGGATAGGGGAAATAGAGTGCCACACAGAGGGAGATTGTTGTTTGTGGTCACTTAGTGACCAGTGACAAAGTTGGACTAAAACCAGAGTGTTTTGGTTACCAGACCAATGCCGCCTTCATGGTGTCACCCTGCTTCCTTTGGGCATTTTCAAGTCCAATGTTAATCTCTCTGAAGTTTTCAGTAGTGGGAGACTTGAGCAGGTAGGAGGGTGTAGCAAAGAAGCATTACATAGGAATGGGTAGGAATAGACTATCACAACAGGGAAAGGGGACTATTGCAATGAGTGAACAATGAGACATGCCAGTGTCTCCCAGACTTGGTTGTAACTCCTGTTGTGGCGTTTTCCATCTGTGACCTTGAGCAAGCCACTCAAACTTAAAATGTTTAGAGCTTCCTTTTTTTCTCATCTATAAAGTGGAAATATTAATAATTATCTCAAAAGATTGTGATGAGAGTGGACTAACATCAGGAGTGAAGCTCATGAACATGCCTGACCCACAGCAGCTCCACCTGGTGGCAGCAGCGTGAACTGCAGAAAGTGAGAAGTCCTGTTGGCATTCTGTCTTGTTCAGGTGCTCACAGAGACTGTGAGGTCTGAAGGTGTTCGCAGTTTGAGGATGCTGTGAGGAATTTGTACAGTACAAAAGAGGGTCTAACAAGGACAGAAATGAGTCCAGGGAGGAGAGATTTGAATATGTTTAGGTTGGAAAAGAGTAGTCTGGGTTGAGAGTTAGTGATTGATCTTTAATCACTGTCTTTCCTAACGACTGAAAGAGCGAATAACTGTCTTCATACTCATGAGATTCTGTCAGGACCCTAAAAATATTCATGCCCTTCACCTCATCCTTCCCATTTTGAAGTAATGATCTAAGGAAAATTGTCCAGAAATTTATAGAGGAAGGTCATGTACTATAGTATAAAACAGGGAGTAACATAAAAGCTCATCAATAGAGAAATGGTCAAATAAATTATGGTATTTAAAAAAAATGCACCATTTAAAACATCTTTGGAAGATGATCACCTTGGGGGAAATAAAGTGTTAAGAGAAAAAGCTGAATATAAAACTATGTATACATCTTATTCAGATTTGTAAGAAATGTTTGCTTAATTGACAGAAATTCACCATGTTACTGTGTTTCACGCTGACCATCCTAGGAGATAATGTTCTACTAGTTCCATCTGACTAGGAGGAAGCTGGGTTTCCCAGAGGTTGAATAGTTGCCAAATGTCATTCTGCTGGGGGGTGGCAGAGCTGGGATTCAGCCCATGGGACTGGGCTCAAATGCCTGGGGTCTTGCTGTGTTGCCATCCCCTACCTGGACACCCGCTGTGCAGTCCCATGCAGGCACTGGGTCTTATGGGAGAATGTCCTTATTGGTTCTTTTTGGAGTGTTACAGAGGGTCCTATAGAAACAATGAGCATGTTTTATACTTACAGTGAGACTGAAAACAAACAAAATGCTAAAATTTATTTATCATACAATAGGTTACCTACCTGTTCAAATTTGTTTTTTTGGGGGGTATACACATGATTATGTTATTTTCGGTTATAGTGTTCTCTTTCAGGAGCTCTCTCTCCTGTCTATCTTGTGGGTAAATGTAATTATTTGATCAATCCATTTTCAGAATTTTAGAAAAGAATAGAAGGAAAATTTGCTGTAAAATACATGTATTTCCAATGGGAAATTTCTGGGAGAGGGAGATGCTTAATAAGCCTGGGCAGAGTACTGTGGGAGATGACAATAATTTCCTTGTTCCTGCCTTGGGCCGCGTCATTGCTATTGTGCTCCTCATTTCCAGCTGCATCTAATTTCAACTCTGAGTCAAATCCTTTGTGCCAGCCTCAGTGATGCTGTGCCTCAGGCACTTTGGTTGCTCCTCTCAGACTTCTGTGAGCCCTCCCTCAGGATCCTGCCTCCTAAGATACAGAGACTGCAACCTATAACTGTGGAGGGTCCTCTACTTTTCCGCTATTAACAAGGGTAATTTGACTTGATATTTTTGCAGCTACAGTAACAAGATGTGATAAAAGCAGTGCTGATAGGCAGTTCTGTGGGATTTCACTTCCTTTGTCCCCACTTTCCACCCCCTAAAAATATGCCATTCACCTCAGCCTTCCCATTTTAAAGAATTGATCTTAAGAAAAATTGTCCAGAAATTTAGAGAGGTAGTTCATGTACTAGAGTATAAAGTTGCACTCATGATTACTTCATTTTCCCAAGTGGATTGATTGATGTACCCAGAAGAGAAGGCCTGAAGCCTGACTTCCTAATGTCAACACATCTCTCCCCCCTGACTTAAAAAAAATCTTATTTTATCCTCAAAACAGCTGCTGGGAAAAGCATTTGATACGGTCCGAGGCATATAAGGGTCAGTGACAATCTTTGTTGGCATTTAGTGGACTCAGAACTCTCTGTTGAATTGAAACAGTTTTTAATCTTATAATCCTTTCCAGGATCCTCTATTGGCACAAATTACTTAGAATAGGAAACATTTACTATTTATGTATTTACTTATTCGTTCGTTTATTTGGTAAACATGCTTCCATCATTTTCCCAGGTCTGTCTTTGGTCTATGTTCTGACACTATCCATGTTCCAGGCTAGACGTTAGCATGGGACCTCATAATTTCCAGATAACAAAGTGTGTTCCAAATATAGAGTTTTAACTGTGGCATAAAGGAGTTGTGGGTGTCTGTTATGACTATGTGTGATCTTGAGAAAATAACTACGATATTTTGATGCTGCCTATGTAAGAGGAGGGAATGAATCAAATACATTTCCAAATGTGTTTGTGTTGGTTTGAACTAATGTGTGCAAGGAGCTAATCCTGTGTCTGGCAGAGGTTAGTGTCCGTAAATATTAGCTCAATATGTACAATTGTAAAGTCTTATGTATGTGTAAGTTGGTATCATTATTTTTGACCTCTATAACTATCATTTACTTTTTCATTAACTAAGAAATATTAATTGAGCACCGACAGTATACCAGGCAGTGTTCTAAGCACTTGGAATGCATTAGAGAACCAAACAGACAATGAGCCCTGCCTCATGGAGCTCATATTCTAGTGATGGGAGCAGACAATAAAGTGTAAATATAATAAAAAAATTAATTATGTAATATATTTGAAAGCAATATGTGTGATGGAAAGAAGAAAAAGAAGATAAAGCAGAACAGGGTAAGGGCAGTTGGGAGTCCTGAGAGGTTGCAATTTTATTTATATTTATACGTTTTTGAATTTAAATTCTTTATTGTTGAAAGTATTACATATGTCCCCTTCTCTCCCCACATGGACCTCTCACTGCCCATTCCCACCCCCAGCACATGCCCTCACCCTCCTACTGTCTGTGTCCATGCATACAAGTCCTTTGGCTGATCTCTTACCATCCCTGCCTTCCCTCTGGAGAGGTTGCAGCTTTAGATAGAGTGATCAAGTGTCCTCTTGAGAAAGTGTTATTTGCACAAAGACTTCAGGAAGGCCAGGGAATTAGCCAATAGACATCTAGGGGAAGCATGTTCTGGGTAGAAGTTACAACCAGTGCAGAGTTCCTAAGGTGGCAGCATGGCTGAGGTGTTTTGAATACCATGGAGGCCAGTGTACTTGGAAAGGAGGGAAGGGAGGAGTAGGAGGAAACAGGTTAGAAAGGCAATGGGGATCAGATTATGAAGGGCCCCTGTGTCATGGCAGAGGTTCTGGATTTTATTCAGAATGGGATGTACATCCTTTGTAGGGCTTTGAGGGAGCCCTCTGATTATTGTGATGAGATTAGACTCATGGTAGGGTATGTGTTAGGAAGAGAATTAGGGACATCACTTAACAAGCCAAGGAGAGGTGATTGTGGCTCAGAACAGGATGGAAGCTATGGAGGTGGTGAGGCTATATTTTATGGTGGACAAGACAGGAGGAGTTCTTAATTGATTAGATGTGAGATGTGAGGAAAGAGGAATCAGGATGACTTTAAGATTTTTAGGCTGAGCATTCAGAAAGTTGGACTTGCCAACAACTGAGCTAGAAGCCTTTCAGAAATGTATGTTTTAGGGGAAAGATCAGGAGTTTATTTTTGGATATGGTTGGTGGACTGGGCAGGTATTTATTAATTCCTTATTTCACAAACATTTATTGAATGCATTTTATGTGCTAGATAGTGAACATTATCTAGAGTCAAGCGGTCGGGAGCCTTGTGATCAAGCAACACCTAGCTTAGTGCAGAGAGTAGGCATGTAAATAAACAATTACAGAACAATGTCACTAACACCGTGAAGATGGTATATGCCAGGAACAATAGAACACAGAGGAAGTGACAGACATCCTTACCTTTTTAAACTTTGAAAACAAGGTTCTGAAAAATTAATTGATTTGCCAAAACTCACAGTTAGTATAAAGCACAGCTGGAGAATTGTGATATTGTTATATTTTAATAACAAATATATATTTGGTATTTGTCCACATATGTAGCACAGAGCTTCTAAAACCCTTGGAATTTCCTGACCAGTGATTAATATAAAGGGTCGGTTGTCATGCTAATGAGGTGACCTTTGGAATACCCGTAGATCATCTAAGGATAGGGGCCAAGGTTGACTTGATCACCAATGATCTATGATTTAATCAATCATGACTAAGTAATGAAGCCTCTATAAACATCCAAAGGGTGGAGTTTGGAGAGCTTCCAATGGTGAACAGATGAAGAGTTGGAGAACGATGTGCTCAGAGAGCATGGAAGCTCTTACCACAAACCTTGCTCCATGTATCTCTTCCACTTGGCCATTCCTGACCTCTACATACTTTTATAATAAACTGGTAGTCATGTAAGCTGAATTTTTCTCTGATTTCCGCACTAGCAAATTAGTGGCAGTTATGTCAGAAGCATACACATACAGTGTGTGTGTGTGTGTGTGTGTGTGTGTGTGTGTGTGTGTGTGTAACTTGTGTGATCTGATGCTATATCTCCAGATAATGTAAAAAATTGAGTTGAATTGTAGGACTCCCATCTGGTGTCTGAGAATTGCTTGTATGTGTGGGGAACCCCTCTCCCCAATTGAAATTGGATATTAGAATCATTATTAGACGTCAGTAGAGTTTTCTGACTCCCTGGATTTGGGAAATTTTCTTATATCACATAATTTGTGTCATTGCAGAGCTAATCACTTTGTTGATGTTCAGGGCAGAGAATCCATGGGCACCAAGAACAACGTGACTGAGTTTGTGTTGTTCGGCCTTTTCCAGAGCAGGGAATTACAGCATGTGTGCTTCGTGGTCTTCTCCCTCTTCCACATGCTCACTCTCCTGGGGAACCTCATGGTCATCATCACCATCAATGCCAGCAAGACCCTGCATGCTCCTATGTACTTCTTCCTCAGCCACCTGTCTTTCGCTGACATGTGCTATCCGTCTGCTACTACGCCCAAGATGATCACTGACACTTTCGTGGAGCACAAGACCATCTCCTTCAATGGCTGCATGACCCAGCTCTTTTCTGCCCACTTCTTTGGTGGCACTGAGATCTTCCTCCTTACAGTCATGGCCTATGATCGCTATGTGGCCATCTGTAGGCCCTTGCACTACATAACTATCATGGATCGACGGAAGTGTGGTTTGCTGGCAGGGGCCTCCTGGGTGGCTGGCTTCTTCCATTCCATCCTGCAGACCCTCCTCACAGTGCAGCTGCCCTTTTGTGGGCCCAATGAGATTGACAACTTCTTCTGTGATGTTCATCCCCTGCTGAAGCTGGCCTGTGCGGACACCTATGTAGTGGGACTCATTGTGATGGCCAACAGTGGCATTCTGTCTTTAGTGTGCTTCATCATCCTCATTGTGTCCTACGTGGTCATCCTACTAAACCTGAGAAGCCGGTCATCTGAGGGCCGCCGCAAAGCTCTGTCCACATGTGGCTCACACATCATCACCGTTATTTTGGTCCTTGTGCCCCCCATGTTCATGTACATTCGTCCCTCTACCACCCTGGCAGCCGACAAACTTGTCATCCTCTTTAACATTGTCATGCCACCTTTGCTGAACCCTCTGATCTACACCCTGAGGAACAACGAGGTGAAAAATGCCATGAGGAAAGTGTTCAGGATCAAGGGGAATTCGGGAGAGAAGTGAGTGACACTCCGGGAAATCTCATCCAGCCTGGAACTTGGGAGACTTCCCATTCTGTAGCACACACACAGGCTTTGCATCTCCAGTTTGATGCTTGTAATGACAACTGTTCTTCCAGCTCTTTATAAAAAAATAAATTTATTGAGGTGACATGAGTTAATAAGATTATATATGTTTTACAACTTCTGAATATTGCATTGTGTGCCCTCTACCCAAAGTCAAATCCTCTTCTGTCACTATGTATTTGACTCTTTTTAACCTTAAGTACCTCCATTCTTTTCCCTCTGATGACCACCATACTGCTTTCTGTGTCTATGAGTTATTGTTTGTCTCATAAGATCTTTTCATGGTAATAATCCCATATGTTTCTTCAATCCTCCATTCATTAAATATCTATTGAGTGTTTGCAATGAGTGAGTTAGTGGATACAAATAAAAGTAAGATGGCCCAGCTGGTATGGATTAGTGGTTGAACATCAACCTATGAACCAGAAGGTTATGGTTTGATACCTGGTCAAGACACATGCCTGGGTTACAGGCTTGATCCCCAGTGTGGGGTGTGCAGGAGGCAGCTGATCAATGATTCTCTCTCAATTGTTGTTTCTATATCTTTCTTAATCTCCATTCCTCTCTGAAATAATAAAAATATATTTACAAAAATTTCTGCCCTCAAGGAACTTACAGTGAAATGGGTTCTTAGTATGATAGTTAATGCCTCATCCAGGAAACATACAAGAGCTTGTGAATTACAGAATCTCTTGGAAGTTCAAGTATCTTACCTATCTATACTAAAAAATATTAATATGCTAATTAGACTGGGATATCTTTCAGAGAGCTTCTGGACATTCTTCTGGACAAAGCCACATTGGCGGGGCCAAGGCAGAGGCGGATAGGGGTGATCAGGACAGCAGTTGGGGGCAAGCAGGTCAATAGGAGTGTGGGACAGTTGGGGGTGATCAGGTGGGCCAGGGGGGCAGTTGGGGGTGATCAGGCCAGCCGGGGGGCAGTTGAGGGCAATCATGCTGGCAAGGGGCGGCATTTGGGGGAGAGCAGGCCGGTAGAAGGGGCAGGTGGGGGTGAGCAGGCTTGCGAGGTGGGTAGTTAAGGGTGATCAGGCCAGAAGGGAGGGGCAGTTGAAGCTGATCAGGCCAGCAGGCAGATGGTTAGGGGTGATCAGGCAGGCAGGTGAGTGAATAGGAGCCAGTAGTCCCAGCAGTCCCAGCAGTCGGACATCACCTGAGGGATCCCACATTGGAGAGGGTGGAGGCCAGGATGAGGGACTGACCCCCCTCCCCGTGCATGAATTTTGTGCACCAGGCCACTAGTACAATATATAATAGTACAATATATAATAGCACTAGGTAATTAGCTTTACTGTGGCTAACATGTGCCTAATGAAATTAATTTAATCTCATGATATTAGAGGCACTTTTTCTTTTATTCCTTCATTTTATGCTCTCTCAGCAGGCAGATGAATTAAATATAGAGAGGTTAAATGATTTACTTAAAGTCACACAGAGAATCCAGAGCAAGATAGCGACCAAAATCCAGGTTCCTAAAATCTGCTTTCAGGACTTTTCCACTTCAGGATTCCTTGACAAAGGCTAAATGAATGGACACTAAGCAGTACAGACAAGGTTGTTTTGAAGGACCATGGATTGGTGATGGCCTGGGATGATGGTGAGCAGAGCCAGGAGAACAAGCTTCAGTACCTCACTTGATTCCTCTCCAGCTGAGCAGGGATTGCCGCCCACACTCATCCCCTTTGCTTTATTTTGTTTCCATGTAGAGGGAGCCAATTTGTGCAAATTGGATTTAGAAGAGCAGGATTAGATGTCCTTAATTTCATCCAGTTGGGTCTCAATTTTCACATTTACGAAAGGACACAGTGACAACGCCAGTTTCAGAAGGACACACAGGAGGACACATAGGACCTTGCAAAATCCTATATCAAAGTCTGTTTTTCAGAGGTAGCTACTGCCTCTGTTGATAATGTCTTCTGTTCTCTTTGACCCTGCCCTTTCTCCTAAAGTCCGTCTAACTCAGATTGGTTATTCATTCCTCAGATGTTTACCGATCACCTCAAATTAACTTCTTTAATCATTACAACAGCCCCATGAAAAAGGCATAATTCTCAGGGGAAGTATGATCAGGGTTGGGTGAGGATGGTAGTGTAGAAAAAACTTTTTGTTTCATCAGATGCCTAACAAGCACAAATGCAAAATGTTGACTTTGACTATGAGAATAACAGCAATAAAATAGCCACTGGTATCTTGAAAGCAGTGTTCTCAGAAGTATTTGTACATCAGCTTAATTAATCTGTGTTGAATAAATCACCTTCTTTTAAAAGTCCTTGGAAAAATGTGGGATCATGGCCCTGGCCAATGTGGCTAAGTTGGTTGGAGTATCATCCCATACACCAAAAGGTGGTGGGTTCAATTCCCATTTGGGGCACATACCTAGGTTGTGGGGTAACCAATGGATGTTTCTCACATCGATGTTTCTCCCCTCTCTTCTGTCCCTCCTTCCTCTTTTTTTTATAAAATCAATAAAATAATTTCATGGGGTGAGGATAAAAAAAAAAAAAGACTGCTCTTGTACTTTATATGAGCCACTAATGCTCCATGGTGTAAATCATAGCCCTTTCAAAGCTCTCTGTACTTAGGAGAATGTTGAAAATTGGGCTCCTTTCCTTCTTTTCTCTAGTGGTTCAGTGACAAGTACATAGACTTCAGGGAGGGAATCACCTGGACTGGAACTTACCCTGCCATCTTCTAGCTGTGGAACTTTGTGTTCATTCATTTTACCTCTTGGTGCTGGCATGCTGGGTATGGGGAAAGATGGTGGTACTCAGTGACAGAAGTTTATTTATGCTTTTCCCCTATCAATGTGATCTTGTGGGAGTTCCAGTAAAGCTTTTCTACTTCATTTACTATCTGAACATGAATGGTAGAAATGCAGGGAATGGCTTCATTTCAGCCTGAGGGTGTTAGCCTACCCAGCAACCTCAATTATGTATGTATGTATGTATGTATGTATGTATGTATGTCTGAATGTATGTATGTCTAAAATAATAGTTATGGGGCCTGCTTCAACAGCACTAAGGATGTTCAACAGAATAGTTATGGGGATGTAATGTAGAGCACAGGGAATATAGTCAATAACATTGTAATAGCCATGTATTGTGCCAGGTGGGTACTTGGCATATTGGGGGAACCACTTTATAAATTATGATTGTCTAACCACTATGCTGTACACACGAAACTAATATAAAATAATGTTGAGTGTAAATTATAATTGAAAAAGAAAATTAAAAAGAGAAGTGAAGAGTAGAGATTTGTGGTTGGGGAACAGAATTTCGAAGACATTTTTAAATGGTACTTGGTGAGAAGTGGAAAAATGTGTCGATATAATAGGATTACTGGGCAATGTTGATGGGCCTTTTGAAGTTGGTGACAAATTGATAGTGACAAAATCCTATTTTGTGACTTTTTCTGGAAGCTTTCAGGGAACATATGGAAGAAGGCTTAGAGTAGGATTCATTCAGTATTGGGAATTACACATGCTGAATAGGTAAGAGTACTGAAAATGTAAATGGTTACAATTTTTATGGAGAATTTTTATGCACATGTCAATAATTATTAAACGTGTATATCAATATCATCAAGATTAAAAATATATTTATACACTGAGTGGCCAGGTTATTATGATCTCTAAACACAATAATCGGGCCACTCAGTATATATATGTGTATATTAAGCCTGGTGCATGAATTCGTGCATGGGTGGGGTCTGGTCAATTGGCCAGGGGGAGGGGACATAGGCGGTTGGCTGGCCTGCCTGCTGGTAGAACTCCTGTTAGAGGGGATAATTTGCATATTAGTCTTTTATTTTATAGGATATACACAGAGTGGCCAGATTAATATGCGCTCAAAGATCATAATAATCTGGCCACTCAGTATATATTAATACATTCCATGTTTTTGCTTTTGTAATTATTTTGCTTATGACAGATCTTTGGTTTGGAGGCAGCTCTCCCCGTTTTGGAGTATAAAGTGCCAGGAACATGTCTATTTTATTCACTCTGATATTCCTGGCATTTAACAAAGTGCCTGAAAAAGTACTTATTGAATGGTTGAAATGGTGGAGGTGCAATTTCAATTCAGGTTCTTCTGGCCCTCCTTTCTCTGGTCTTTCAGCACATCGACAGAAGTGGTGTAGATAAAGGGGAGTGATACTTTTCTTACAGCCTTATGGAGGAAGATGAAGAGATCATGTATGTGAAAAGGGCTAGTATCCATGCTTAGAACATAGAAGATGCTCATTAAATGCTGTTGATTTTTATTTTTGTCCAGTTAGCAATTTTCCTAAAGATAACCCTTGAAACAAGTTTCTGAAATACCATAATTCCCTTTTCCTCCTGACAATTTGTGGACTATCCAGGTAGACAATAGAAGGGCAAAGGGCACTTCTAGGAGGCTGTATGTAGAGGTCACTCCTTGTGAGACCAAAACTGTATTCGAAGGGAATAATTAAATGATGGCATCAGCATGCTTCGGACTTGTGAACAAGGCAAAAGCTAGTTCTAAAGCTGCTTCTGCAATAGTCCTGGGAGGGGAGAAGCCTCCCTCAGAGAGGCGGAAAGCACACACATAGGAAACCCCAATGTTATCACTCTCACCTTATAAATAACCCTGTTCAGGGGAAGAAGAAAGATTTCTCTCACATGGTGCTGATGAGTATTAGCAGAAAGCAGAGCTGGGAAGCTGGCTACTCTCTGGAACATTTTCCCTCTTGTTAGCAGCAGGGCTTTATTTGTCATTTCAAAGACAAAACATTGGAAAGGGCACCTGAGTGACCTGGAGCCACGAGTGACCTGGGAGCCAGGCGTGCCTCTGCCTCGAATCACCCATGTGACCTTGGACCAGCTGCACCTAAACTCTGAGTCTTCAATCCACTGTCTCTAAAATGGAGACAATTGGAAAAGATGATTTTAAATGTCATA